ACTTTTGTGTGATGTAATCCTTCCTTTAAGAGATCTGGAGGTCTGACCTATGTATATTTGGTTGCAGTTGTTGCAATTGATGGAGTAGACTGTGTTGGTTAAGCCAAGCAGCGGGACTTTGTCTTTCATTTTTGAAAAAATGCAGTTTATAGTGAGGACGGATTTGCAAGCAATTCGAAAGTTCAAAGGACTGCACAATCTGATAAGCTTAGGGGTCCATCAATTGCAACAACTGCAACCAAATATACATAGGTCAGACCTCCAGATCTCTTAAAGGAAGGATTACATCACACAAAAGTGATGCTAGGCTTCATCCTGAAAGATGCGCTCTAGCATCTCATGTTAACACAACAGGGCATTCTATGAATTACACAAGTATCAAAGTTCTTGATAAAGAAAAACACCTTTCCAAACGTTTATTCCTGGAAATGTCCCACATTTTCATGAATAACAACTGTATCAACAAAAAGACAGATGTTAAACAACTGAGTGTCATTTACTCATATCTGCTAAACTGCGAAAAATTGGAGAACTTACATATCTCCCCAAATTTCAACTCTTCACAACCATAATTAGAATCTGTGTTTTGTCCGTTTCCACCAGTAAATTTCATTCCACTCAAAATACAATAATTCTCTCCTCACGATTTATTAATAATTGTTAATTTAAATTCCCATTAATAATAATATAGTTTATTCAACTGCCTCTGGTCGGTTTAACAAATTCCATCATAAAATTCTGTAAATCTCTTCATCTGAAGTGATTTGGCAACGTTTTTGGCACACGCCCACAATTCGTTCCATCTTTCAATACTGACATTGACATCCTTCGGCCTTCTGTCAAAGGGTTTCATGTCACTCATCAATTCATCATTCCATGACCACTAATTTGTGCAATCATCAGGTGGTTTCACGATGTAATGTTCTAATTTTTAAAATAATTTTTAATCTGTTTTAACGTGTTCTTGTCATGTTTTGTATAAATTTTGACTATTGTGCAACCTATTCAGCTCTCACCATGTTACTGGACGTTTCCCTCATCATATGCGTAAACAACAATTAGCAACATTCTCACATACTACTGTAAGTTGAGTCAATTTAAATTCATTTTACACCTTTGTTGCTACTGTTATCATTGTAATTGCAGCTCCTGATGATGATGGCAAAGTCCATTGAAAGCTAGAGAGAATTAAAAAAGTATAAAGAGTCCTCTTTGCTTAAATCTTGTCGAAGTACCCAACAAAAAGCGGAAGCTTTAATTTTTCACCTAACTGGTCTAGACGACAATGACCACGTCTCAAGTTATATATATATATATATATACCTCCAGATCTCTAATAGGAAGGATTACATCACGAATGGTATGAGGATTTTCTTGGGCCCGCGTGTGAGTATTATGGAAATTTAATATCCCGTCTCGCGTAAAAGTACATTCGTCCGTCGCTAGAATGTTTTTAAAAAAAATCGGATTTTCAATGTTTTTGTGCAAAAACCACTGACAGAATGTTAGTCAGCGAGGATAGTCAAAAGATTTATTCGTATATGTTATTGCTTTTAGCTATGCATCGGGGATTGAGTGGTGTTTCGCATTTCGAGTTAAAACCGGTACTTTGTAGGTATTTCATGAGCTTTGTTTTTCAGGAGGACATGGAATTCATAAACATTGATTTATACATACTCTCCATTTCTGCTCTTTTGTATATCTTTGTAGCCATGGGTCTGTATATTAGTATCTCACAATAGTGCTTGCCCGTTCGTTCGCCTGCTGCACATATCATCCTTTTGTATGCGATCAGTGTTGCTAATATTTGTATAACTACAATGGAAACTTTTTGACTGAACTATTTTTCGTCTCATCACGCATCGAATCATTTAGGTCGACTAAGTGTTGACAATGAGAGAAGATTTCAAAATGATTCTACTGAATATTCGACAAGAACCAGTCTTAATCAGGAGATCAATCGATATAGTAATGCAGCTGTAACCATTGAGGTTGTTGAAAAACCTAACGAATTAATCGAGATGATGCAGAGGGTTCCATACATTCAAGTAGGTGAAACCGAAAAAGCATGCCTTTTTAAGTAAATCGAGAGTGTACGATTCTTGAAAATTGCTTTTCGTGGTTGGGAACTGCCTTAGCTACCAATTCTGCAGCAAACAACAAGACACACATGGAACGTTAAAGCAAGTTATCAGCTTGATAAACCGCGTTTCGTTATAGTAGCCTGTCAAACAGCTCGGAAAAGTCAACTTAATAAAAATATGAGTCATTTTGATCACTTTAATGTTGCTAACATAAAAAACGCTTGTTGAACTATAGCTCCAAACATTGTCAAAGATCGTAGTCAGCAAAATGAAACTTGAAGATCAGGCGCTGTAAATATATGTTTGGAATTTGAAATTACTGTCAAAGTTCATTGAATACGCGTTACAATTGTACTATTCATAAATCAATGAAAGCAATAAAATAAAGCATACGAATTTATTGTTTCTGTTCATTCTACCCTATCTACTGGTCTATTGGTCAGGCTAAGCTTATAGAGCGTAATATTACCATTAATAAGTTTATGCACCCATCATCTAAATATGATTTGAAAAAAAAACTACAATATTTACGCAAAAATGAAATCAACACATTTGCTGTGCTCAAAACACAAGCCTATCATCTCATTAAAGAAAATAATACATGTGTTTTTCCATGTTGCCTTGACTATGCTCAGGAATCCGAATACGAGCAAACTCCAGAGATGTTTATGTATCACATTTGAAAACTTTTTCAATGTGGCTAGCTGCTAGTCAACTGATACGATGCTATACTACCGATATAGGGGTCCTGGGCTATACACTACGCTACGAGACAACTTTTTCTTTTCTATAATACCAATATTTGTATTTCGCGCCAAGTATGACCTCACCAGCCTCGTGGTACATTTTTATCTTATCGCATACGTACATGCTGTGTTTATTTATCTTAGAAACAGATTATCAACACATTCGCTAGCAAGTCGGTTAAGTTGTTTAGCTACAGTTGTATGGGTTCGAAAACACATGCTACGTGCCAGCTTTCCATAATACTAATATTCGTGATTCGAATGCCAAAAATGACGTGGTACTACAGTTCAAACTCGGAGACAAGAATTACGACACAACCAGCGATTCGCTGTGATACCAGAGTTTTGTCTTCAGCACTGTTATACGATTAGCGCACAAGGAGCAAACCTCCACCTACTTCTGAGCATCTTTTGAAAACTTCGTCATGTATATGGGTAAAGGTCAATGACCTTCTTTTTCTTCGGACACAGGTGAAAGATATTCTTGTCACTGACGATCAGGTGCAAGACTGGCACATGAGTCAGCTTTGACGATAAATGGATGGACAGAGTAACCAAACTGGTTCAAAACCACCCCATAACAACTACTGACCTTCTTGTAACCGCGGAATTTTAGAAACACGTGCACCAATTCTCATGAAATTTTGGGAGCATTACATTGTAGCTAATGCTGTTTGATATGCTGAGGAGTAATGCGCAAAAGGCACAGTGGCATTAAACCGTTCAGTAACTACGTATTTGCATCATGTTTCCCTAGTGATAGGTCCTTTTGGGCATAATGAAAGGATTTAAAATTTTCAAAAATTACCAACATGTGTTTTTACCGTTTTATAAAATTATCATCTCTCAAATATCTGAATCATGACACATACATATATAAAAGGTGGTGGCGTGGAGAACTAAATTATGGTGGACCTTCGAGGAACGTTGTTTAGAAATTCAGAATGAATTGTGAATAAAAGGTGTTTGGAAATAGTTGTTTATGAATGCATGATACGTACTGAGTCGATCTACATGACGACATTTTCCTTTTTGCATTGCGCCCCCGAGAGTCATATTCTTATCTATGGAAATATACTAAGTGACATTAGAAGTGTTACACCCAGAAAAAATAATTTCTTCAACTTTTTGGCAATGAGGTACTCTTACATCAAGAATAAAACGGTAACATTGTCACAAAATTTTTTTGCTAAGTAATAAGAAAAAAAATGTTTAATGTGTTGGGCGACCCCGCAGCTGAATACACTCCTGTATACGTCTAGGAATCGACAAAGTGAGATGATCGATGTCTAGTTGTGGCACCTCATTCCAAGCAACTCGAACTTCGTGGATTAACTGTCGCAGAGTCTGTAGCGGATGGTGCAAAGTGGATAGTTTCCTCCCCATCATATCCCACACATGTTCGATGGCACTGGTAAATCTGTAACTTTAAGGAAGGATAGCGGCAACACTGCCAATCCGCTCAGTGCACATGCGACTAGCGACTACTCTCCCACCAACAGCAACGGTGTGCGCTTCTTCCTTTTCGAACAGGTATAGTCTAGTCTTTTATGGTCTAGTCTAGTGTCTAAATTCTGTACCAGTCCGGAGTCCGCAACAAAATTTGGCTGAGAAGTGAAAAAGCGGAGTTTTGTTGGTTGGTATTAACGCTATTTTCTATGTTCTTTTGATTTTTTATTTCGGGATAGGACAAGCCAACATCTCGATGGGCAATAATTCTACTCCTGTCAAAGGCGCTAACATGGTGATAAGTTGGAAGTATTCGAGCCTAACACTAGTAAATGAAAGGGCAATAACTAAAAATATCTGTACTGCTTAGCGCTCAGGAACTGCTTTCTTCACAAAAACATTTTGATAAAGGTAAACAAAAACAAAAATAAAACGTTGACATTGTTGCCACAGCTTTAGATATAGTCATTATGTTGCCAAAAAAATAAGTTTTATGTTTTCTGGGTGTATCTGAACCAACCTATATCCTCTCCTAATACCCAAATACTGGCCGATTATAAACAATCGAGCTCATTCCTCCGTGCTCCCTGCGCATAGGAATGTATGTATACTTCTCATACAGATTCGCTCTACCGTGCTACATTTTTTCACATATGATGCTGCAAGGATAGCTGTTGATCAGGTGAGATAGGTACAAAATAGACCGATATTTTGCTATATTGTTTATTAGCATCTTTTCAATCGAGTGCAGAAATTATAGCTTGTGTTACTGCGTGTGTATCAATCCAGGGTCTTAGTCTGGCCACGCTTGTATATACTCCAGGCATGTTCTTTATCCCACATCCTCGACCCCAGGAAACGATTCCTACTAAAGTTCCATTATATTCCAGAGGACCGCCCGAGTCAAACTATAATAGTAAAAAAAGTAAAGGTGAAGTTCTTAAAAAAACTATGTTCTACAACGTATTTTACGTCCCACAAAAGCATTTATCGCATCTTTTATGACTTTCAGATATCAGGTCCACACCAATCGAGGGTTGGGTAGTCGATCGCATCTTGAGTTAAAACCGGTCATTCTCAATCCTCTCAGTATATCTTTGTACTAAAATAACAATACCTCACAAGTATCCTTTCCCGTTCTCCCGCCTGTTGCACATATCATCCTTTTTGTGACCGCTTCCTTGACTTTCCTTAGACATATTTCATTGTTTATAATTTTCAGATCAACATCTCGCAATATATCTGAAGCTATATCCTAAAGATATAAAAGATATTCAAATAGATAATTTAGCATTTTAATTCCGGGACATTGTTCAAGGACTCGTCTAAAGCCGCGTACAGACCCAGATTCCCGCGTAAGCCAAGGCAAATGTGGTTGCAGATTTGGAGGCGTTCGAATCGGTATGTACGACGTGAGCCAACTTAAGCCAACGGTTTCAAAGGTTTCGATTGCGTTCGCTCCTTGATCGGTACATCAAAGGGAGGTTTGATTTGGTTTGGACAGGATTTGCTGCGCTACTTGTTGCTCGACATTAGCACCGAACTTAACCCAAAGCGGTCCAACTCGAAAATAAATTTAGGTGTAGACGACATGGTAGACGAGCGCTTTCCAATGCCTTCCAACGACTAACGCCAACGCCACAAGTGCTTGCTCGGCCTTGGATTTTCTGTCTGTACGCCGCTTTAGACATTTTATGTTGAGCATCTAAAGACCCAAAAATTAGACGTAGACCGTCTTATGACTAACGAACGCATCATAATTGTACAAACGCACTAAGAAAATTGGAACAGTAGGTATTCACGGCGTTTCGTCTGCATCCGTTACCAAACATATAGACTTTTCGTAACTCCAATAAGTTAGAATGCACCTTAAAAGTATGCTCTTTGAGATAGATAGAACCATGTGTTCTTCTAATGGTTGCATGATCTGTCGTGATGCCCATTGGCTGCGGTATCAGTCTATCCAACCTTATGTAAACAATCCGCAGTCGATTGATGACCAGATCCAGAAACATTTCTCAAGTTATTGGTGAAATTGAGCTGCAATTGTTCAAATGGGTTACCGAAAATTTTAATCGTACTATCACCTTGCATTACTGACTATGATTTCGTGCATCAAAACAAGCCGCACCCTTGCTCTTTCCAACTAATCCGAATTCGTTGTTAGAAACAGATGAGGTAAGCAAAGTTCTAGACTCTGATAGTATGAACAAAGATGAAATTTTTCCAAAGATACCGGTTTAATCTTAAAACAGAATCCTGAAGTTCCAATCATAAGCAGGAGTCAGGTAGAAACTCAAATCATACTCACAGAATGCATTTCAGTTACACCCCATCCTGATGATATAACAGTAGCTCCTTCAGGAACCATCTCCCGTTTTGATGGCAAGGCAATAGGTTGCACCTTATCAGAAAACACCAATTGTGAAGATAGCTGTAAAAGCAGATAGGTTGTAGCATGGGTTAAAGTATTCTACCTGAAGTTAGCTAACCATATACTGTATACTAAAGGACATAGAAAATGCAACACCCACTAGGAGTGCTGTAATTCTGAGCATACTGTTAGAAGTTTTAGATGTACTGATAAATAGAAAGTGATTAAAGTGTTGATTCGAAATTTCGCAAAATAGCTGAGATATCCGTTAATGTTAATTATATGTTGCAGCTCCTCTGTTCGCTACACATTGGTTAAGTCGTCGCAGCATTGATTGGATTAGGTTATTAATGTCTTCTTTGTTTATTGTATCCCAGGCCATCGGACTTTGGTTTCATAGAGCCTCCAATGTTTCTGAAGCGTGCAGTGGATTTTGCAACCTAAAAAGTCTAAAGTCGCATACAGACATCGCGAGGCGTGCGTCCCCATGACGCATGAACGCGCAACACTCATCCGCCCACATGGAGTGCAAGGCTCGCAGTGAGACGGCGTTCGCAACGATCGTACCAGGGCCGTATGCTCCGCTGTTCGATTTTCGTCCGCCGGCGCGCATGACGTCACGCGGAGAGTGATTATTATTTGGGTTGATTGGACAACGAGCATATTTTCACCCCCAGGCTCACGGTGAGCATTCGCGTCATACGATCGTTGCGAACGCCGCGCCTCAGCGCGCCTTGCACTCCGTGTGGACGGACGGGTGTTGCGCGCTCATGCGACATGGAGACCGATATTGAATCACTGCGTCAACTTGTCCAGCTTTATGAAAATAACAGAATGTTGTGGGACTGTAAACATTCTGATTATTACAATAAATGTACATGGTAAGACGCGTGACGTCAAATATCACAGCAAATCAAAGTTCCCGTCAAAGACTTGAAGAAAAAGATACTGTCACTAACGGGATCCTTTCGACGGGAGAAATCTAGAGTTAAGAACAGTCAAGTTACTGGATCGGGTAAATATTTTATCACTAAAACACTGCAATTCAGTGTAATTCAGATTTAACCCTTTTTTGTATACATATTAAAAACAACCATCAAATGAATATAATATTGATTTTTTTGTAATTTTAAATATCAAAGTAAGTGAAAATGGCACTAATGTATTTTAAAGGAGCTAACGAAACATATACTTCAAAATGGTTTGGATACCGATGGTTCTAGTTTTTATACGATAAGGATATTCCAAAAAACACAAGAGATTCAGATAGCCGAAGTCACCAGGAGGTAATGATAAAAATAAGTTATTTTGCTGGTTTCATAAACTCCGTCTAGAATAATGTTTATTTTAATAATTATTTTGCCACGGAAGAGTATAGTTTCTTTTAAAATGTTCTGCTAAATGCAATCGTATGGCTTTGGCAGAGGTAGCTGGTCTTAGAGGTATATTATCGATGAGCTGAAAAGCACTACCTCCCTGTTCCGTTCTCCAGCTTCCAGGAATTATATTTCTATTTACCTCTCTATCAAAGGTTTCATCAGGTGTGTAAATATCTCTCGAAGTAGTACTCTTATCATCTTCTTCAAATGTGATATCGTCGTATAGTTTAATCCCATAGTGTAATCGGTTCTTAAAAAATCGTTCTGTTCTCTTTTTTTAGTATTGATTGAATCACTATATAGGCCGCAGCTGCAATCTGCACGTCTCGCCTTGCCGGAGCCATTTTTCTTCCTCACTAACACCGTGCGTGGTTGTTTTCGAGCTTAGCTTGAGCATGTGTTGTTCGGGACGCTTGCATAAATGTAAAGTCGTATGCCTCAGGTTGAGACATGCGAGACGAACCATTCGCGACGCACGCCTCGCGATGTCTGTATGCGCCTTAAGGTCGTGCAATATCCTGCTGAAAAAGGTGGATCTTTCAATGATTCCAAAAAGGGAAACACATGTGGTTGTAAAAGGTAGTCATGCTACCTCGCATAAACACTAATCGTGACCTGCTACCGTAAGCGATGAATGCTTTTCGTTGGAATATTGGACGTTCCGACTTTCCCCTCGTTACTCTTGCACGGCCATCATGTGTGCCCAAACATAATCTGAACTCATTCCATTCCATATTTCATTCAAGTCTCTCCCTACTGCATACCAATCGTTGCCGACGATGCTGTGGGGTCAGAGGTAGTACAAGATGGCATGATAATGCAATGAAACAACAATGAAACAAATGGAACCAACAGAAAATCACTAAATATTAAGTAAACATGTTCATATTGTTCGGATCCTGATATGACAAGAAAAGCACGGCTCTGAATTCCTTCAATATTTTATCAGCGTGTACGCCCATGATAGCAAATATGTTTACAAGTTTTTATCAAAATTTAATGAATAATTCTGGGTGTTGCATTTTATATGTCACTTAGTATATCTTGACGTCCACAAAATCTTACGAGATGAAGTGAGTTATGTTAGCGTCGTCTGTGAGAATTTGTCACAGCCATGTTTCTTCTCTCCGCAATAAATGGGAATCTATTTGGAAAAGATTAATGTCTCATAGATGGCGTTGTATCCAACCATATGCTCATATGTGGTCATATAGATGGCTACAGCGACATCTATGAGGCATGAACGTTTTCAAAGTAGATTGTTAATGATTACGGAGATGACAAACATATCTCTGGGAAATTCTCACGGATGGTGCCAGCATATCTCGTTTCAAGTAGTGGATTATATACTTGAAAATTACGCAAGTTCATCTTACTACGCTATTCACCGCTTACGTATTATTTTCTGAGAATAATGATAACTTATAGCCAGACACCTTTAGAATTGCTATATCATAGTCCCTTGGTATTTCCAGATCATACTGACTGTGTATCAAAAAGCTCTTTACACTGTATTTGGTTGAGGATGCTGAATCGTTGAGGTTAGTGATTCCTGCTACTACTCGGTATGACTTTACCAACAACCTAAAAGCATCAGAATAATATCAAAATTCTTCTAATTTTCACGTAACTATCCTATGCTTTTCTGTAACTATTCACATAATATTTTTTAAGATACGTCAACGCTATGCAGTGGCGTAGCAAGGGGGGGCTGCGGGGTCGGTCCGCACCGGGGTGTCACCTTTTTTGGGCTGACACCCACCCGGCCACTCAACTTTAAGAACAATGTAAAAACATAAAAAAGTAGCACAGATTGCATTGCAAAGTAAAGGTTCAACTGTTAACGAAACTGCTACAAAAATAGAGGCACTTCGTCTATATATCCAAGAAAAACGGGGTCACATTCTGGAAGAGACAATAGATATTGCTAAAAATCAGAATATTACGATATAACGACAGAAAGACGACTTCGTCGTAAAAAACGGGCAGTGATGCAGGACTCACACTGAAAGAATGACTGCAAAAAGCTATGTTGGGATGTCTTAACCGATTCAGAGTTGAACTCGAGACAAGATCGAAGTCTCTTCAAGACCTAGCTTCATTGTTCGAGATCATACAAAGAAATACTACTACTAATACTTTTTCAAATCTTATGATTGCACTAAAATTGTTCATGATTTTGAATTTAAATATTAAATGATCCATGACGTTCATAAATCATATACAATTTATTTCTTTTGACTTTCGAAGGGGTGACACCACCAACGCCCGCTCCTGGTGCCACCCAAGGTAGCCACGCCACTGACGCTATGTGTATATGATTTGCAAGTTAATGTGAGACCCGATTTTACTTTTGATCCGCGGGATCAAAATATTTGTTCCTAATCAAAACGGACCAATGGGAAGGCGTCTTTGTAGTAATGGATCAAATAAATATAGTCGATTCCTTCCAAACTAGCGAAAAATATACGATTTCTGTAAGAAGGGCCTGCAAGTTCTTCATAAATCACCTGGTTTAGCTACAAAAACGTATTTTTTCACTTGCTCTGAAGGTCAAAACCTATGATCCTGATCAACAGTGACCAATTAGAAACTGTTTTAGTGAAACTGGATTAAAATGTGGCCAATCTGGAACAACTATTATAAACCCGCCTTGTGACAGAACGAAACTCAAAACAAACATAAACATCTTATAAAATTTAAAAAAGGACATATCGGTTGTCAATTACGTGTAAATTATCTTTCATTATCAAATATTTCTGCTACTGTACCTAATCCGCATTTCGCCCTTCAAGGTAAATAGAGATGTTTCTGTGTTACGCTTATTTTGAACACACTTATAAAATTTCAGAAAAAATGGAAGAAACCAGATTAGAAATAATACTACAAAAAGAAAGATCTGTAATAGCATAAAGTTTGCAAAATGTAAACTGCAAACCCTTGTTTCTTTTGCGTCTTTGTCAGCTAGAGATGGGGTGTGTGAATTCAGATAACAACGATACTCGAATATGCATTACAAGTTTTTACTATTTTGTGACACAATAACAATTATAATAAATTATCAGGATGTTTATGATAATCAATCCAGTCAATGGCATTAAGGTTGAATTTGCCTAATCCAATAGGAGACCTTACCGGCAGACCCGTTTTACTTGATACAACACAGGTGCGGTTGAAATGTATCTGGAGGTACTGCACTTTATTTGTCACAATTATCAATAAATTTGAACCTATGATAAACACAAACGATCAGATGAAAGTAATCTTATTATTATTTAAATTTTTCTTGCGACATTCTATTAATCCAAATATTTGGGTAATCAGTACGTCTTCGAAGTGTGGATGCGATAAAAATATATATCATTGTTACATTACACGATAAAACAGTAGGTACATTTCAGAGGAATACAGGTAGTATCGATATACAGGGTGTTTAAGAACTAAGGGATTAAACTTCTAGGGGTTATTTAGTGTAACAGTAGAAAACATTTGAGTATAGGGACCCAAATCCGGAAAAGCCTCACTACGGCACTACGGCCCTTCGACGCCTTAAAATTTAGAAAGACGATGAGTTGCCTAAATAGGATTTAATGCATTTAATCTTTGTCTTTTGTACATGATATCATCACAACAATTGTTCAAAATGTCTTCCTCCACCCTGAATACACCGATTTAAACGTCGCACATGATTACGGCGGACTTGACCAAAAATTTGATACTCGTTTTAAATGATTTCAAATGCTGCTGTAATTCGTCTAATTAAGTCTTGCTCTGTTTCTACTGGAGTTTCGTAAACCAAAGACTTTACATGTCCCCACAGGAAAAAATCTAGCTACGTTAAATCGGGTGACCTAGGAGGCCAAGAAACTGCTCCACCTCTGGCAATCCAACGGTCCCCAAACCGCTGAGCCGGCGCTCCAACATGCTGAAACCACATTTGCTGTCAAACGTTCAATGGAACATTTTCAAGAAGTTCTGAAAGAACTTCCTCCAAGAAACGCCGGTAAATAGGTCCTGTTAACCGTTCCGGTAGAAGGTATGGCCCAATCAAATAATCACCAACACGCCTGCCCATACGTTGACAGACCAACGCTGCTGATGTTTTCTACGAAAAATTGCATGGGGATTTTCTTTGTCCCAAACGTGGCTATTCTTACTATTAAAAATACCGTCTCTTGTGAAAGAGGCTTCATCGGTCCATAAAACATAGCGTAAAAAATTTGGTTCTGCAGCGATTTGATGAAGAAGCCATGGACAAAATTGAACTCTAGGATGACAATTGGCTGCGGTCAATCCTTGAACTTTTTGGAAGTGGTAAGGATAAAGTTGTTGCTCGCATAGCACCCGCCAGACGGAAGCGTTACTCGTATTCATATCCTCAGCAATGTGACGTGTGCTACTTGATGGTTCGTCGGCAACTCGCTGAAGGACCTCTTCTTCAAATTCGACCGTTCTTACGGTTCGAGCAACACCACAGTATAATGCATGCTGGTTTCAAAGCTGACTGTCTCGGAGAGCCGCCGATGAATAGCAATAAACTTTTTGTATCCCGGAATCGACTGCTTTTTATTACCACCTATAACTTCAGTTAACATAAGGCAATGCATGTAGCGCCTTTTACAGGTTAATGATAAAATTAAATATTCAGTAAACATATCTCAAAATGACAACCGAACATAACGCATCCGCTAGATGGCTGTACTTACCCTGGTATGTAATAAAAAACCTTAAAACTATTTACACACCCAGGAGCGAAATGTCATTTTTTGTCCATCATGAAATCGAACAACCACAGATTTCTTTCATGCTTGTAACAAATTATGATAGCAAATCTCGGTGTGAATACTGTGTTTATACACTTGAGGATATCTGCAAACGCATTTTCCCACCCCATCTCTAGTATCCGTTTTCCTCCACTATTGACAGTTGATATATTTGTAGTGCGCTCAAGCTAATAATAATAAACATGAATAGTATGTATTAACACACAAATTTTTGTTATTTTGCACATAGCAGTTGGACCTAATTACATTCATTTTTCAATTCACCTAAACGAGTCGAAATGGAGTGCAATACGGCCAAATCTAACATTTATTTTGTGGATCCATCAGGATTTCATAGTCACGACTCTTCACTCTTCGTTGATCAATTTTATGTGATAACACTTGGCAGTCCTGTGACTGGACAGCCGAACTGATGAAACGCACACGGCAGTTCTGGTTTCAAATAAAAATAAAGTTTTTCCTGTGCTCTTTCTTTTCCCCAAGAAATGTACATGCGTAGTATGCTTACTGAAATACGTTTATTGAGAATATTATTACCACTACTTTGCAGAAATTTCTCGCACACTCAGAGAATGTGAAGGAGGATGCCTTCTCATTGGTCGATTTTGATCCGGATCAAGAATTTTGATCTCCTGTTAGCAAAAAATCAGACCTTAAAGAGTCAAAGTTCCTTAAAAGTTACCTGAAGGATAATTAAGACGGAATAACATCCATGATTTGATTTATTGCCTGGATCATATGGAGATGGGTTACCCGTAGGAATCAATGTAATATTTAAAAAGTCAGTATTAACGCCAAAATCGTGTATCGTATTTCAAGATTATTTTTTTCATTTGGCCAAACAAACGTCGGTTACTAACTTCACTTCCGTTCAGACTGAGGACCACTGGCTTTCCAGTGTTTGCAATCGAATCTTTTCCAAAAACATGAAACCAACTTTAGAACACCCGGTATTACACTAGTTTTGAAATTGACAACTAACCGTTCCGAAAACCTTACTAGACTTTTGCAACTTGTATTCATATCATTGCATGCTTTGTAGCGTCAGCTACAAACCAGTTGATCTAGAGGCAAGCCAGCCTGTAAGAAAAAAATTCCAGGTGAAACTAGCCATTTTATCCAGGAATGAAGGTAAATTCTGACTGATTCTGACAGGAAATGAAAGGTATGACAGTTTTGATCGATGTTCTCGTTTCAGAATAGACCAAAATTCACAGTATCCGAGAAGTACATTCACGGCCCAAGAACCAACGAGTCGGATGAATTCCATTTAGACCTGCGCGTCAAGAAAAAAATTTCCAGTAATCCTTTGATCCAAAAGAACATCGCCTTCCTGCAGACCTACAATAATCTATTTAAGAAGCCATCTCACCATCAGATAGGAGACGCTGACGCATATTTTAGGCAGAGTCTGAGAAGTGAGACCTTCGATTTAATCAGGGACTTGAATTTAGAGGCACATTTAGTAAAATCCGTCAAGTCCTTTGAAAATATCAACAAGAGAAAAGTAAGATCTAAGAGAACAGTTTTAAGTCCTAGAAGACTTTCGAGCAAACCATTTAAACCAAACGGAAGGTCTGTAGAAGAGACTCAGGAACCTCTTATTTCGGATAAAGGGGAGCCTCTAAAACAGCCAGTAGAAGCTGCGAAGGCAACTTCTTCTGTGTTAGAGGAAGATTTCTTCCAAGAACTATACTCTCCCAGACAAGTGGAAGAGGCAGAAACAAGCGAGAGTGATAGTGAAAGTGATACTGAAACTGAAGAGAAAGAACTAGAAGCAGACGGTGATCTCACTCCGAAAGTTGAACAGGATATTGTGGATAGGCTTGACGGAATTTTGAACACAGTAGAACAAGGTAGGGTTTCAATCTACGTGTATCTGTATCTAATAAACATAATAATTTGCTAAGTTTCGTTCCAAGAGGAAACCAGTATGCTTTCAAAAGCATACTGGTTCCGTTACTATAAATACGATAACAGATCCAACCCGAAAAACCTCAGCATTCAAACTTTGAAATCACAACTGAGTTTTATATTTCTGTAGAACTTTTTGGCAATAGATTACAGTACAATAGTTACAAAGATATTTTTCGTAAAAATAGGTTATCGAAATTAAACAAGAATGCAATGTTTTCATCTAAAGGGTTATTCTCTTCAAAATTATAGTTTCTGAATCTTTAATGTAACATCTAAAAACTTATTATTTGCTTTTCGTGCTGATAGAGCTATAACTAAAATGTTCATCCATTTTCAAGTAAAATTGTCTATAAAAGTAATATTTTGAAAATTCCATAGATTTGGACAATATCATGGAAGGAGAGGAAGAAGTAGCAGATGGAGCAAATTTCGAAACCTATTTGGACGTTCCTATGGAGGAAGGAGAAGATGATGATATTAAGGAGGTAGAAGAGATGATCGAACAAGCTGCTGAAGAACTTCAACAGGTTGCTGAGGAGAATCAAAACCTTATGCAAGCTTTAGAAGGAGAAGAGGAAGAGGGTGGTGGAGAAGATAAACCTGCTACTGAAGATTCAACGTTCAAGTTTGATCCAGCAATAGATTCCGCTATTTTAAAGGAACTGGACGATGCAGAACGACAAGCCAGGGAAACAGTCAATGTGATCTTCGAATTGAAGAAAAGAGTGGCAGAATTGGCACAGAAGGAGAAGATGACAGAGGAAGAAGCAAAAGAACTTGAAGCAAAGAATAAGGAATTGGAACAACTGATGATCCTTTTCGAAGAAAAAGTTAAACGGATACAACAGCTCATCATGCAAAGTAATCTGTTCGAGAGTATGATGCCAATACAGCCAATGTTGCAGATGAGGCATAAGGAAGACACTTTACCGCAAGTGCTTGTATGTGGTATAACGGAAGAGAACATACCTAAAATAATAGTTTGCGACAAAAAGAATGGTAAACCGAAAAAAGCGAAAACGCCTAGAAGTCCTCAAACTACAGCCGTATGTACCCCCAGGAGCACATGTACCCCTAGAGGCGCAGTGTCACCATCTCAAGAACCTGTAACATCTACAATGATACAACAAATGCCTCAACATCCACAAATGAATGCGTTTGCCCAAAAACTGAACGAGTGCATTTGTATGCAAGAAAAATTAGCTGCGGAGAACGCTAACCTAGAAGGAACGCGGTACGAACTGCAAGGAGCACTGATAAATAAAGATCAAACTGTTGAGAGTCTTCAAAGGCAACTGTTTGGTCTACAAGCTGAATTAAGAATGGTGTGTCAGGAGAATTGCGCATTGACTCAAAAGCTACAACAAGGTGGTGGTGCAGCACCATATGGGCCTGAGAGCTCAACGTCCCCTTCAAAGCAACCTTGCGGAAAAGGGCGAGCTGTCTGCCCTGCTGATATAGAAACCAGGTTGCAGGAGTACTCTGAAAACACTCACAATCTGGAATGTCAACTCGCTGACATGGAAAATGACGTTCGAGGCATGCAAGAAGAACTGACTGCTGTTCAGAAAGAAAGGGCACACCTGGAACATCACAGGAAAATGATGTGCCCTCCGCAACCATGTTGTCGCTCTCCATGTCTGCCACCTCCATGGATGTCAATGTCTCCATGTTTACCTGTGCCTTGCAGCCCTCCACCTGGTACGATGCCACCACCTTGTAATTGTGAGGAAGATACCGGTTCCTCTGCAGACCAGCAAATCAAGGAGCTCAGGGAAAAATACAATTTACTGCAAGATGACTTCAAGTCAAAGTTGAAGGAAGTTAGCACCTTGAGAGCAGAAAACAATAACCTGAAGGACACATTAGAAGCAGAACGTGAGAATCTAACGGTGTACCAGGATAAGGTCAGAAAACTGGAGGACGAGTTGAAAGGGCTGCTTGGAGATAAAGGCAAGGGAGCTGGTTTGAAAGAACAACTGATGGAGATGGAACAGCAACTAAATGTATCTAAACAAAGATTCAGGGAAGCACAAGATGAGCTGGAAGAGCTGCGATTGCTAGTTCAAGATCAACAGCAGCAAATGGACGACTACAGGAACAAGTACTTGGAAGCTCAACAGCAAGTTGAAGAGCAGAGAAGACACATCGACTTGATGGAAATGGAAAATCAGAGAGTAAGTGAACAGGTCAACCTAGAGATTCAACGCGTGAAAAATCAGTTCCAGGAGAAAGTGCAGGAATTGATGCCACTCCCAGATATTCTCAAGAGTACACAACTTAAGTTGCAGGAAGCGCAGCAAATGCATCTACTTGCCGAAAGAAACAATGAAGCCATTACTAGAGAGCTGCAAATGTACAAAGACAAACTACAATTTCTAACTAACCAGCTTGAAATGGCGAAGAGCAACGATGCCTTAGGCAAGAGCGAGAAGGATACTTTGCTCCAGAAAATCGCAGATTTAGAACAGGAGCTGAAAGATATGAAGGAAGAAAACTATAACTTCGGAACTCAAATATCTGATCTTGAGGACAGACTGGCGACATGTCAACTAGAGTCAGACAATAGAGCGCACGATATTCTCCAATTAGAAGCGAATTTGGATAACGTGAGAGAAGAATCTGCTAGACAGGTGGCTAGAACCAAAGATCGTTGCGAGATAGTCCGAAAGTCTATGCAAAATCAAATCAACGATCTTGAGAGACAGCTGGCGCAATGTCGGGCTCAAGCCAAAGCAGCTCAAAAGGATAGAGATGAGGTCAGGCAGAAGATGCAAACGCAAATTTGTAATCTGAATGAAAACTTTGAGGATGCTACCATGCGTATTAGAAGTCTTCAAGGTCACGTTAATTTCCTCAAGAACACCTACGGGGTTGTGACTACTGATCCTTGCCCCAAGACCTCTCCTCCTGATCCTTGCAACTGTGGTGCTGACTATTAGTTGTGAATAGTTTTTATCTCATTTTGTAAAACTATATGCTGCAAAATATAGAAATACGAAAGAATGAAGGTGATAGAGACTGATTGCTAATTCAAAGCAGTCGCTCATCACATAGATTTTTAAAAAGGGTTTTATGAGTAATCGATGTATATTCTTTTGATATTTATGCTTAACACTTCTGAAAAAATATTAATTCTGCCAAAATGACTGATGTTTAAAAAAAATATCGTGTATTTTGCTAAAAAAAGAATATAAATTAAAAATATTCGCGACTTTAAGTTACGTGACAATTCCTGTTTTATTTATGGATAAGATTCTAAAGCACCCTGCATATTAGATTTTTATACAATGATACCTAAAAATAAGTCAATTAGTATTCCACAGAACTGATTCACTATGTGCCATTTGGTCTGCATGGTCCATGGTGTTACGAGGTTCGACAACTGAGCAGGTAGCACAGATTATAAAAAATAAGTGAAGTTTTCGCTAAGATATGTCATTAAAGTCAAAACAGTTTCTTGGACTTGCTTCTTGGAACTTACTCAGTAACACAGTGAGCTGCTGTTACAATAGTATCATTGCTGATAATAGAACCTCCACAGAAATGTTTTCCCAAAAATTGTATAGATACGATCCAGGGATGTTTCTGGATTGTCGTTTCATTACCATGTATTATTCCAGGCATAACTGCAAATTAAAGCATAAAGGGTTTTTATTGTTCACCTCATTTCAATATTTGTGTGCCAACCAAAGGAACGCGAACGTTGTGATTTGTTATTAGCTGACTTAATTTTTGAAAAAATAATGGATTGTTCGATGTCATTGAGGGATTCTGAAAACAGTTTAGCTAATTTAAACCTTATTACGATACTAACCTGAAAATTCATGTGAAAATTGAACCACTGTAAGTAAAATAAAAATAACAATTTTCATTTTATTAGTAAACGTAACGCTATCACGAGTTCAACTGATAATGTTCGTAGAATATCTTGTGCATATCTTCCTAATTTATTTCAAGTGCGACGCTATTGAATTTATAGCGAGACTACAAAATGTTCTTTTTTCATAATTCTGTATACACTTGTCAGCAAATTAAATGTCGCATAACGCATCACCAAATTATAATAAACTTATTTTGCCAAATAAATTCAAGTTGTACACATACCAGACAGTCAGAAGGAAGGTAGAAAGGTAAGAGAAAAAATAAATGAGAGTAACAAGGTAGGAGGAAATGCGTCATTGTTAACTGAGATATGCAAGTTATCTGCTCATATAGAAAATTAATTAAGAGATTTGTTGCTATGGAAAAATTGCTTAGACCCAAAATTACATGGGTGGTCACAAAGGGAAGAACGATCACTGAACAATACTATAGTGAGTTATTGGACCGCTTTGACAAAAAATTGAAGGCACCAGCACATTCATCCTGAGTTGTCGCCACAAAACTGCATGAATTGCGTTATGTAGTGCTGCCGCACCCCCCCGTATTCACCCGATCTGCCTCTCTGCGACTATTTCTTGTTCCCTGACATGTAGAAACGGCTCGCGGGGAAAACATTTAGCTCAAACGAGGAAGTCACCGCCGAGACCGGCGTATTTTGGAGAGTTCGACAAATCCTATTTTTTGGGGGGATTAAAAAATGGAACGTTGAGAAAAGTGTATCTTTCTAACAGGGGATTATGTTGAAAAATAAAAAGAAATTTTTTGGAAAAAATGGTATCTTCATTTCTAACACGGGTACTTTTTGAACCGCCCTCGTACGTTTGTGTCACAGCACATACTATACCGCTCGGCAAGGAACTTCAAAAAATGTACGCTAAACTGCGTAAAGTAACCCCTCACGTAGCTGAGACAAATGGATTTAAATAGGTTAGAAAGTGTCAAGTGATTCTACCGCTACACCAATGGGCTTTGCTCCTCAGAGCTCTGAACCATGATGCCGCCGCGCGATGTGCCTGTCAGACAGATCCGCCTGACTTCAACCTCCGATCCTAACCGTGTCGAACTTCATACGTCCAGGACTGATCGATTCTACCGCTTCTTTTATCCTTCGAGTATCGAGATTGTGAAGTGGGCTTTTTCCAGATATATCAACCTCAGGCAGTTCAAAAACAGGATTAACAAAGTTTCCTCAAGCTCCTCATAGCAGCCGCGGTGCCCCGACATTTGGACTTCTGCCTGCGTGGCGAATTCGGAGCAAAAAAATTATATGTCTCTGTGTAGTGCCTCATTTGCTCGTAGTCCTCGTTTGCAGCACTCGAAGATTTTGCATGTGAGTTTTGGCCTGGAAACACCAAAGTGCATATTCATAGGTAATGGCTGGTCAAATAATCATTTTGTATAGTCGAAGTTTGTTTATCAAACTCAATTTCGTCTGTCTAAATAACAAGGGATATAGTTGTCGAAACGTAATTTGGAATTTTGTATTTAGCGCTGCTGTATGTTCCTGTACTTGGAAGAATTACACGGTTTGTGTAACGAGAGCCTTTAATCCCCATATTTAATCAGGAATTCTTTATAAAACACCCAGTTTATGTACAAAAACCTTCTTTTTTTCATATGCTTAAAGGAACGAAATTTGCTACTAGCTTGCAAATTAGACCAATAAGGAGAGGTTTTTGAAGTAATGGATCTAAACCATGTAGTCGATTTTTTCTGTAATATCTCTCAAACTGGTCCTTAAAGAAAATGATACACTTTCTATTGATCTCAGATGCAAAATTTGCTATAAGGGTGTAAATTCGTGTAGGGATTAAAGCCTTTTTTTAATTAGTCTAATTTACATCATAGTAGCATTTTTTTTCCTTGGTTCAAATGAAATAATATTTTTTGAATCTGGGTATTATAATATGCCCTTTTTACATATATCGTATAATTTTTCACAAAAACTGCTGGGCTAATTCAACCATTCAATGAAAAAAACGAAAAATATAAACCAACCAGAAGGAACAAAACAAAATCGTTTGTACTATTCGGAACAAAACTATGATAACTACAAAACTAAATCTGCAACTCATCCAAACCTGAAATAAAATAGAAGAAGTAAACATTCATAATACAATACTTAAGACAAGTAAAAATATTGTTGATGCATTCAATTAATCACTTTATAGAAGTAGACAAAAAATTAGCAATGAAGATAAACAAACCTGCCAGAAATAGTCCACCCAGAAACAACAAATCATTTTCTTAGAACCTGTGTCTAAAAATGGAATAAATGCCATATACAGTTTGAAGAATAAAACAAGCCTTGGTCTTGATGGTATACGATCAGAAATGTTAAAGATTTCATCTGGAATCAGTAAACCCTTGACGTACATATATAGCGAACTTAATTGAATCGGGAGAGTTTCCAGCTGATTATAAAGTAGGAGTATTAAACCCATCCATAAATTTCATGTAAAAGGAGATTATAAATTTTTGTATAAACAATCTGTATAGTGAAAAAAAAATTGGATTCCAGGAAAACAGTTTTAGCCAGGACGGATTTTTTTTTGACTTAAAAGTAATACAAATTACTCGACCAAGGTGAATATATCCTGGGTATGGTCTTAGATCTAGCAAAAGCATTCGTCACAGTAGACTACTTGTATCTATTAGAAATCTTACACGACTCAAGAATCAGATGCAAGGCTTAAAACCTCATGAAGAGTTACCTTTGAAACAGAAAACAGTGCGTATAAATAAATCATTGCTTAAGCACAAACAAATTGGTAACTTATGGTGTTCTACAAGAGACAGTGTTAGGTCCCTTATTATTTACAATTTACATTATTAGCTATCATTTATTCGGATAACGACTCGTGGGATGATCTAAAGGAAAAGGTTGAAAGAGATTTAAACATAAATACAGACTGGTTCAGACATAAATGCCTTACTATTGACTTCCAAAAGTATGTTCATGCCATATACAAATCTTAGAAACAAATTGCCATCCTTTGTTTCTATACAGGTTGATTGTGATAATACAAATACTCAAATAAATTTAACAAACATATTAAAATGTATAGGTGCATATTTAGACCCCATTTATATTGATCATGAGAACAATGAAAATTTTATATCATGCTATGATCGGAAGTCATATGAATTATGCAATATCAGGTTAGGAGGAGCACTTAATAACCAAATGCGTTCATCTTTGAGACTTTAGAAATATGGAATCGCCAAAATATTCAAGTTCAAGTTCAAGAGAAACTGCAAGTGATTAATTTGGCGTTGAATGATCCTAGTACAAGTACTAGGCGGATTGCAGCCTAATTACCATGTTCCCAAAGTCTTGCGTGGAGAATTTTAAATCGGGAAGTTTTACATCCTTACCATCGCCAAAATGGTTACTGCAAAGTGTTACAAGTGTATGCTGAACAAATTAATACTGTTGATCAGTTACAAGAAAAAAAAAAAGATGTCGCACTTGTATCCGTCAGAATGGTGGTCTTTTTGCACATTTATTGAAATAAAGCTTTGATTATCTAATTTGTTTTTTAATTTTATAGTACATATATATTAACGAAAACAATGCACTCTAGTGAAAAACACAAGAGTAATTATTTGTAGCAAATTGAAGGTAAACTTCGAAAAATTCCGCTTTTCGGAAAAAAGCGTACTATTTTTATTTGTAAAAATAATGCCACTGATCCCCTGTATCTTCACCTGGTGCACGTTAATTTTCAGGAAAGACTTTTGAATGTGGACAATACATGGATAAATCCACATACCAAATTTTAGTTCATTCGAGTTGACGGTTTTGAAGATATTAAAAAAATTGTTTGTTATTTTTAAACTTCAACACCCCGTATCTTTTTAATGAGGCCGTCGAAGAAAAATTGTTACAAGAAGTCCTCTCTTTAAATACGGTCCTCTATACGTATTACTTTTGGTCACGACTTGTGAATCACCCTGTATATACAGATATACATGTATTTATATAAGTTATAAGTATTAGATACAGTCCCACACATAAGAATTAATTTATTCTCTGTGGATATTTGCAGTTTGTTCACGTAAGTATACCTTAGTTTTAGTTACGTATGTTTGTACATACGTGAATAAACGTATTATTATTGGGTCTGTTTTGATTTTATATTTATTTACTCATATTGTTTGTTATCTTTGTACATTGAGTGAATAAATATTAAATATTATTATTATTATTATTATTTTCATTATTATTATTTGCCAGATGTTTTAAAATAAACCGACCTTATCGATTAGACCAACTATACTAAGTGACATATAAATCCGAACACCCAGTTTAAATGGTTCTATTTTAATAAAATTTTGTATAAGTACTTAATGAGGCATAATAAGTAAATGATAAAAATTTCAAAATGATTGCACTGCTTTAAAACCCTTTGACCTTTAATAATGCGTGGATGCACCCTGATGTGCTACGCATTCTCCAACGCGCCTAGGCATGCTTCTGATCAGGTGGTCAATGTCCTCCTGTAGTATCTCATTCCAGGCAACCACCAACTCCTCTCGAAGTGCTTCTAGAGTCTGAGGAGGACGTTGCAAATTGAGCAATCTCCTACCCATCATATCCCACACGTGCTCAATTGGGGATAAGTCGGGAGATCTTGGTGGCCATGGTAACAATGTGACATCATTATGTTGAAAGAAGTCTATTGTGACTCTTGCAACATGTGGTCGGGCATTATCTTGTTGGAAAGTTGGATCTGCCAGGGTGTCAAGATAGGGTAAAAGATGGGGTTCTAGAACTTCGTGGCGCGTTCATGTTAGCTCTGATGAAGATTAAAGGTGACCTGGAACCATAAGCTATAGCACCCCAAACCATAACTCCAACAGTGAGATGAACATGTCTTTCAACAAAAAACTGTGGATTCCTCCTTTCACCACGTCGCCTTCTAACCCTGGCACGACCATCGTGCATGCCTAAACAAAATCAAGACTCGTCACTAAAGACAATACTGTTCCATTCCTGATCCCAGAGTGACCGTTGTCTGC